TAAGAAGTGGGCTGTAGTTCACGAAAGCTTATGCTCTAATAAATTTGTTAGTCTCTAAGGTGCCACAAGTACTCCTGTTCTTCTTTTTGCGGATACAGACTAACACGGCTGCTACTCTGAAACCAGTTATTCTACTGCCAGTATCACCTGTCTGACTGATATCAGCACAATCCTTCCTCTTAAAGTCCATTCTCCTACCCACTGCTGTTCCTTTCTCCATTTCTGTATCCTTTCTCACTTGATTTTCCTCCATCTCAAGGTTAAAATCAGGTGTGGAGATTACATGAACATCTCCCAACCATCTCCTCTAAGTTCCTGGCTTAAAGCTCTTTTAATCAGTTGTGCCAAACTCCAGCCCATAATGGTCCCCTTTGATCTTAAATCTAAGAATAGATTAATGAAAAAGGTTGGGGTATGAGGCAGAAGAGTGGCAAATTAAATGGGTGACAGAGCGTTGGTTGGGTGGGGAATTTTATTCCAAAAGTCTCAAAGTGAAGAAGTTTCTCTGGTATAAGAGAATATAAAACCAGCTCTCAGTTTGCAGTCAGAACCCTTATGGAATCAAATTATGGAAATCTGCCTAATTTCATGGTACAGTCAAATCTTTCGATGCTCATTACTTTTTCACAGTTACACAATACAGCTCATGGAGAAAGGAGAAGGAAAAAACCAAACAGCCATCATGGAATTCATCCTCCTAGGGTTTGGGGATCTCCCTGAACTGCCGACCCTTCTCTTCCTGGTCTTCCTAGTGATCTACATTGTGACTATGGCTGGCAACCTCCTCATCATTGCTCTAGTTGTGATTGATCAACACCTTCACACTCCCATGTACTTCTTCCTGGGGAACTTGTCCTTTTTGGAGACCTGCTACACCTCCACCATCCTGCCTAGGATGCTGGCCAGTTTCCTGACTGGGGACAGAACCATTTATGTGGGGGGCTGCATGACACAGTTTTTTTTCTTTTGTTTTCTAGCAACTACAGAGTGTTATCTCCTGGCAGCAATGTCTTATGATCGGTATTTAGCCATATGCAAACCACTGCACTATGGAACCCGTATGAACAGCAGGCTGTGCCTCCAGCTAGCAGCTGGGTGTTGGATAAGTGGATTTCTACCGTGTACAATAATGATGTTTTTTATGTCACAATTAATTTTCTGTGGCCCCAATGAAATGGACCACTTTTTTTGTGATTTCACTCCAATGCTAAAGCTCTCCTGCAGCGACACCAGCCTCATCACATTGGTTCTTTATATATTTTCCTTCCTAGATGCAGTTTCCCCATTTCTATTAACCTTGACATCCTATGTTTGTATCATCAGCACCATCCTGAGAATCCCTTCCACCACTGGGAGGCAAAAGGCCTTTTCCACCTGCTCCTCCCACCTCATCATTGTAGCACTTTTCTATGGGACCATCATGATTGTCTACATGCTACCAAAATCCAACACACTGAGAGCCCTGAACAAAGTGTTCTCAGTCATCTACACTGTTCTGACTCCTCTGGCTAATCCGCTCATCTACAGCCTGAGAAACAGAGAGGTCAAGGAGGCCCTGAGAAATGCTGTCAGGAAATGTATGACCCTCATAAAGAATTCAGATTAGTTGAATGAAACAAGGATCAATCAATCTGGTTTCAGTTGTGAAAGAAGGAGGGTCTAAGTGGGCCCTGATACAGAAATACAGTATACAAGAGATAAGTGTGTGTGCACAAGATCTGCAGATGGAAAGTGTCAAAAAAAGAGTCATGCACTGTTGTTGTGGCTGTGTTGGTCCCAGGATATTACAAAAACAAGGGGGGTAAGGTAACATATTTTATTCTTTCTGCTGGTGAGAGACACAAGCTTATACAGAATAATTCTTCTTCATATCTGGGAAATGTACTCAGCGTGTCACAGCTAAATACAAGTTGGAACAGCTTGTTTAGCATAAGTAGTTAGCACATATTTCAAGGGACTGATATGAAGTGATCACTTTGCCTTTTATCATTTTTCAGAGTCAGTTCATTTGAGAGCATAGTGATTGTCTGGTTTTGTCCACATAGCTGTTGTCTGGGCATTTGATTTACTGCATGAGGTACACCATACATTGTGATAGGCACATGTAGGACCCATGGGTCTTGAAAGGTGTGTTGAGGGGAGTGTTGCTCATTGTGACAGTGGAGATATGTCTGCAGGTTTTGCATCTGTTGTTCTGGCAGGGTCTGATGCTGCTTTGAGTTGGTGTGTCCTGATCTGTGGGAAATTTGCTTCTGATGATGATCTTGGAAAGGCTGGGGGGTTGTTTGAAAACCAGAAGTGAGGGTTCAGGAAAGATTTCTTTCAGGATGTGATCCTGTAATAGTCCCTTGCTCTCCTGTCGGGAGGGAGGCCACTCAGTCAGGTCCCGTCTGGCCAGGAACAGAGTCCACAGGACAGTCAAGAGCCCACAATAGGGCTGGCTGACCAATAGTCACAGTCAGGATTTTGCCTGGGTTTGGGCAGCTCAAGCTGCCAGCCCTTAAACAGAGTCTATAACTGAGCTGGGGCCTGGGCTTGAGGAGGCTCAGGCAGACAGCAACAAACAATCTCAGGGCTGGCTTTAGCCTGGGCAGAGCTCAGGCAGCCAGCAAACAAACCGTCTACAGGTGACTGGTAAGGCAGGATCGTTCTGCAGAGCAGGAGCTTCTCAGGGAAGTGTAGGGAGTTGGCCACCCGGGATCCAGCCACAGCTGGCTGCACTGGGGCTGCTCCGGGCTACTTCCTGCCTCCCGGGGGGTTGATACCTGTGGCCTCCAGGCCTCTTCTGGCTCCTTGGGGTACACTGCGGCAGGCATTCCAGGCCAGTCCTCATTGGTGTCTAGGGCTCAGGATCAGCCAGGCATAGGTTCCCTTCTAGGACGCTGTGAAACAGGCGGAGCCTCCTTCTCCTCCACAGGTTCTGCCCCAACTGTGCTGCAGGGCCTGCCTTTTATACTTCCAGCCATGCCTCGGTACTTCCGGTGAGGGGGCGGGGCAATCTAGGCTCCTCCCTCCAAGGGGAGTGTAATGGTCCTACACTCTCCCATGGGGACGGAGGCCCCTCGCCTCACTACAGGGACTGGTCAGACCGCTCTGGCTGCCCTGCTGGCTGGAGCTCTCCCTCCCTGGGCTGCTGCTGCTAACTGGAGTTCCCTCTCTGGACTGCTGCTGCTGAATGAGGAGGCATGACATACACTGCCTCCTGGTGCCCGCCTCATCCCATGTTGAAACATATGTGCGGGCGTTGGGAAGGGTGGTGGGGCCCATGGCCATTGTGGCGGCCTCCAAAATGTATGGAAAAGTCATATTCTTCCTGGCATCGGAGGTGTCCGCTCAGGAGGCGGTGGAAAAGGACCTGGCGGTGGGGGGCATGTTAGTTCCCCCTAGAACGCATGGAAGACCTGGGCGTACAGGTGATGTTGACCTCCGTAACGCCCTTCCTTCCCAACGGTGCCCTGCTACCTGCCCTCTCCACCCTGGGGAAGCCCATTTCGGTCATCAGCCCTCTCCCGCTGGGCTGTAAGGACCCCACCCTCTGTCACTTCCTGTCCTTCCACCGGCAGGTTCAGATCCAACTACTTCTGGCGGCGCATGACGAGGTGGCTTTTGAGGGGTCCTTCCTGGTGCCCTACCAGGGGGCCCACTACCAGGTCCACTATACGACGGGGAAGTCCCGGTGCTTCCTCTGCCGTCGCCCCTCCTCCTCCTGCCATAGCTCTCGCTTGTGCTGCGGGGCCAGCCCCCCCATCATCCCCAGATGAGTGGGTGTGCCTCGCCTCCATCAGTTGCAGTTCAGCGAGGCCCGTGGAGGAGAGGGCAGTGAGACACTTGCCGGCCAAGGGAGAGGGCCCACCCCAGGGGGAGGTTTCCCTTCCCCCCTCTGTCCTGCCCTTCCCACCCCGAAAGATGCTGCAGGGGGCTGATGTCGCTAAATCTTCTGTCGCACCCCCACATGGAGCCCAGCAGGAGGCACTGACTATGGAAGCCATGGAAGTGGATGGAGGTGATCCTGCCCTTCTTATCGAGTCCCTCCCTGAGGAGGCCTCTGTAGGAGTTCCCCCGGCCCCTGTGCCACCTGCCACTGCTGATGCCGGGACAATCGAAGCTGTGCAATAGAATTGAAAGAACATACACTTAAGAGCTGTCATAACTATAAAGGGAAGGGTAACAGCCCTCCTGGGTACAGTACTATAAAATACCTCCTGGCCAAAGACTCCAAAATCCTTTTACCTGTAAAGGGTTAAGAAGGTCAGGTAACCTGGCTGACACCTGACCCAAAGGACCAATAAGGGGACAAGATACTTTCAAATCTTGGGCGGGGGGAAGGCTTTTGTTTATGCTCTTGGTTTTGGGAGTTATTTACTCTTGGGACTGAGAGGGACCAGACATCAATCCAGGTTCTCCAAATCTTTCT